GTCTTAAAACACATTTTTAATAATTATGGCGACATCAGTAATGAGTTAGGGGGTGATATTTTTATGGAGAGTGTCATTGGCGAGCATGATTGAGAAAAAATTAGCAAGGAGTTTGTTAACAAGGAATTAGTTGTAAAATGACTAAGTCAGGAATTCGATTATCAAGAAGTCCAAAATTGAGCCAAGGCTTTAGGAAATAGTTTTGATCCAAAAAGTGATGCCGGCTTTTGTGCTTGGCTAAGGGATGATAAGAAATTAACTGTCGAAAGTAAAGAATTATTGGTCCATATTAGCAACATTAAACAATTAAGAAATGAATATGTTCAGCAATTAGAAAAAGAAAATGAGATACTTAGCAAACATAGTCAGCAGTTGGGTCAAGGAGAAGAAAACCAAAAATTAAGTCAAGCACAACAATGATTAGATGAAAATTATCCAGCGGAAAGAGCAACTATAACAGAGTTAAATATCAGTAGTCAAGAATTAGCAGGTTATTTAGATTTAAAAGATTTTGTTAATTTAGAAAAACTTGATTGTCGCAACAATCAACTTACTTCCTTAGATGTATCTAACTGCTTGGCCTTGACTGAACTTGATTGCTTTAACAATCAACTTACTTCCTTAGATGTATCTAACTGCTTGGCCTTGACAAAAATAGATTGTCGCAGTAATCACCTTCCTTCCTTAGATGTTTCTGGTTGCCCAGCTTTGATAGAACTCAACTGCCGCAACAATCACCTTCCTTCCTTAGATGTTTCTGGTTGCCCAGCTTTGACAAGGCTTAACTGTTACAATAACCAACTCCCTTCCTTAGATGTTTCTGGTTGCCCAGCTTTGACAAAAATAGATTGTCGCAGTAATCATCTCTCCTCCCTAAATTTATCTAACTGCTTGGCCTTGACTGAACTTGATTGTCGCAACAATCAACTTACTTCCTTAGATGTATCTAACTGCTTGGCCTTGACAAGGCTTAACTGTTACAATAACCAACTCCCTTCCTTAGATGTTTCTGGTTGCCCAGCTTTGACAAGGCTTAACTGTTACAATAATTACCTTCCTTCCTTAGATGTATCTAACTGCTTGGCCTTGACTGAACTTGATTGCTCTGATAATCCCTTAACTAATTTAAATTGCCAACAAAATAGTAATTTAGAAATGCTTAATATTTCTAATACTGATCTAGAGAAAGGTTGAGAACATTTTCCAGACAGCATTACCGAATTTAAGTGTTTAGTTGATGAAGAAAGACCCGAAAGCAAGGGAAAAATCATTGCCCAAATACTAAAAGAATATAGTCAACCTACCAGAGATAATTTTGCACATCCCCTCCTCTTAGCCAAGGGAGCAATTCGTGAAAGAGCCCAATCTGCTCAGCAAGTAGAGAAACTAAAAAGTCAAATTCAAAAATTACAAAAAGATCTTTCTGAAAAACAAGGAACCGAAGCTGTTCAATTAACAAATAAAATCCATTCATTACAAATTGAATTAGCCAAAGCGGAAGGTGAATTAAAAGCTAAACAAGAAGAGATTGAGAGGAAAGACAAAACTATCAAGAAAGCAATTGCTAAGTCCAGCAATCAAACTAATACAACCAATATTCAGCAAATTGCTTCACCTAGTAATTTTAGCAAATAAAAGAGTTTAATTTACCAGTAGATTAACCAATCCACAAAATGAGATTTTTTTACTAAAAATAACTTCTATATGTTTTTAAGAATTAAAAAGATATGAATGACTGACAAAAGTTAAAGAAAGGAAAGAAGGAGGAGATGGTAGTAGTCAATTAGGAGATATTGTCTTAAATATAAAAGTTTTAGAAAAAGAAGTAATTAGTTATCGACAAGGGGCAAAAGAAGAAAATGAAAAACAAGAAGAAAATCAATTATTGGCAGCAATTCAAGTGGTAACGGATAATTAGGGAAGAGATCAAATTTGGAATTAAATAGGGTTATTTTGTCATTTCTGCACTACTTTCTCTAATTCTTTGTAAATATCTTTTTTAAAAAGAATCTTCCCTATTTTGTTGATCTTAACTTTTCTTTTTTGCGATCTCTTTTTTCAAACTCTCCGAAAACTTACACTTTGGCACTCTTTTGGCTGGAATAGTCATCTTTTTTTTAGTTTGTAAGTTCATGGCTATTCTGGGTTTTGTTATCATGGTCTTAAAGGAGAAATAACCTTGTAGTCTGATTTCTTCACCCTTGATTAAGGATTTTTTGGTTTCTAATAAGAATTCATCAATTATTTTGGCTACTTGATTCTGAGGAGTTTTGGTTTTGCGGGAAATTCTTTCAGTTAGTTGGGATTTACCTGTGATAGTTGATTTAACTTTATTCATATTTTAATTTTTCATTTTGTTAGCCTAGTATATTGTAGTGCAGGATGCAATTGTAGTGCT